TACATCCAGTAGGATGTCTCCTATCAAACAGAATAAAATAAAAACCATATTGAAATAACACGTTTTGGGGCCAGGGATTTAGCTCAGTGGTTCCGCTACCTGCCTCGAAAGCTGAAGGACCTAAGTTCGATCCCCAGTACCAAAAAAAAAAGAAGTAGAAGAAGAAGAAAAAGAAATAAGTTTTGGCAAGGATGGAAAGAAGTTAGAACCTTGTGCGCCACTGGTGGGAATATAAAGAGGTACAGTCTCTGTAGAAGAGTCAGTTGATTCCTTAAAATATTAAAAATAGGATTACTATATGCCCCAGCAATTCCTTTGCAAGGCATATAACCAAAAGAATTAGAGAAATTCTCATGTTTGCCTATCTTCAAGAGTATCATTCACAATAGCTAAAACATGGAAACAACTCAAGCATCCATTAACAGATGAATAGATAAGGAAAGTGTAGTAAAAAATCCTGAAGAAATATCAGACTAACCAAAATGAAGGGCCATTCTAAATAGTAACTGGCCTGTGCTCTTAAAAAATACTAGTGTCATGAAAGATGTTGAAAGGCTGACAAGTTGTTTCAGATTAAATTAATATAAAGAAATATGACAACTAAATGCAAGGAGCAATACAAATGTGGATCCTAGACTGGAAAAAAATTACTTAAAAGAACATTTTTGTTTCTTATATTGGATCCTGGAACAGAAAAGGAACATCTTTGGAAAATTAGTGAAATTTGAATAATATCTGGAGTTTCATTTTAGTTAATGCACCAAAATTGGGTTCTTAGTTATACTCTCATATTAAATCAAACTTTTGAGACCAAAGAGCTCTGACTTTCAGGATTTATTAAGCTATTACAGATGATAGCCAAAATTAAAAGGACCAATCCTGGAACAAACTCCCTAAACTATCAGCAGCATGATCAAATAACAGAAACATTGCCCACTGGATATAAGGAGCCAAAGTACTTTATAAGGAAAAATTGGGAACAAATTGTTTACATTGAACGTACACTGGATATAGATAAGAGAGGCAGAACATCTCAAATCAGGAAAGTCCCGGGGTAGGAAGATAGTACCTACAATGAAGCTTTTGCTGCTTCTTGGTTGCTTCTAAAAGTAGAATACAATGTTTCTTGATGGCTAATTTTAACACACAGGGAAGGAATGCTGTACTTTTTCTTTTTCAGTTTAGCTTGACGCTGTCAGTTAAACTTTTATCTCTTTCTTCCCTCTATCCTCTGTTCTGTAAGAGAATCCTTCTCATATCACTATAATGTTAAAATGTTAATATTAGGAGACAGGTAAAGGGACATATGGAAAATATCTAATATCTTTGAAACTTCTCTGTAAATCTAAAATTATTCCAGAATTAAGAATTTATTTTTAAAAGAACACTATTGGAAAACTGGGGAATTTTATGGATGACAGGAAGTATTTTATCATGTAATTCCAGTTCTTTTCATACTTAGATTGTGGTTGTGTAACAGGATTCCATGTTCAAAGGGATGAAATGTTAGAAGACATCCATCATTTTTGCCTACTTATGCATTTCTTTTGGTAAGAGATTCTATTTTTGTATTGGAAAATAGTTCCTATTACATGGGATCCTATAGTAATGCAAATCATTGTTTCCTGCTTTTCTACCAAAGGGGGAACATTTTGTCCAATCTAGACTGATCACACCCACCCAGGAATTTTGACTATTCAATAAGAGTGACTTTTTGGCCTATTAGTCTGACTCTTACTCTGTGTGTGTATGACCATTAATTTTGTAAGGACATATAAGATTATTGATGCTGGGAAAAAGGGGGAGAGATGGAGGGGAAGGGGAAAAAAAGACTTGAGATGTTATGTACATGTACAGTGGACCCTTGACATATGAACTTGATCGGTTCTGAGGGCTGGTTGTAACATACTCAATACAGCTGAGATCTGGATGTTTACCTGGATATACGCTATAAATAAAAAGAAGCAGATGAATCTTCCATTAACCTAATTAACCCAAGTTGTTCGTATATCAGCCAGTTGTAACTTGAGGGTCCACCATACTAATTCCCCACAATGGGTGTTATCAAAAATTTTTTAAAAAAGAAAACTGACACTGCCTGCTGCTCAAGCGCAAGGACCTGAGTTCGATCCCCGGTACCAAAAAAAAAAAGAAAGAAAACTGATACAGAACTCATGGGAAAAAAATAGAGTGATTCCATTAGTTGGGTTTCCACAATAAAATACCACAGTGGGGCTTAGGATACAGGTTGGTGTTTCTTTGTTTTGTTTTGTTTGTACCGGGGCTCAAACTCTGGACCTTTCACTTGCAAGGAAGGCGGCGGAACCACTGAGCTAAATCTCCAGCCCACACGTTGGTGTTTTAAATGTTGGTTGTACATATTACACCTTCTCTAGTACGTTACTAAGAATATCGTGGTTTGTTCAAAGTATCTGTCACAACTTTTACAGCTTTTCATATCTGTCACACATCACAGATTTTATTAAAGGATAAGTTATCATTACAATAACAAAATATTCTGGAGCAAGTAGACACTGAGAAGGATTTAGAAGAAATAAGATTGGCCTTGAATTGCTGATTAAAAAGGTGTAAGTACATGGATGGGAATTTACTGTACTATTCTCTTGACCTTTGTGTATGTTTGAAATTTTCTATAATCTGAAGATAATGAAAATGAAAAAGAAAAAACCCTGAAAACTGAGTACCAAAAAAAAAAAGAAAAAGAAAAAGGTACCAAAGTGCATAGTAAATCAATAACAACAGGGCCAGGGATTTAGCTCAGATGTTTCGCCGCCTGTGGAGTTAAACAAACATCCAAAGAAAGCAATTTAAATAACTTCAAACAGAGTAAAAAACATCCAGCTTTGGGGCTTTAGTTCCTCTCCACTCATCTCCCTCATCTGAGAAACTCCGGACTGTAGATAAGTCAACAGGAAATGGGTACCATTAAGAATGGTATAGGGGAAAAAAAACACAAAAAAAGAATGGTATAGGGCCGGGGATTTAGCTCAGTAGTTCCGGTGCCTGCTGCGCAAGAGCAAGGTCCCAAGTTCGATCCCCTGTACCCCCCCCCCAAATGGTATAGACATGCCACTGTTTCCAGTGAAGTATGAGATACATTTGAAAACAGCTTCACTGAAAATAAGGTGCTTTTAGTTTGCACAGAAATTATAAAAGGATTAAAGTACCTCTGAAAAAAGTCATAACAAACTATTGTTCATTCCTCATCATAGGTGAGTTTAACCCATTTTCAATTTATTATTGGTATACTCTTATTTATTTCTGCCTTTATTTTTTTCTATTTAATATGCCTTTTACATGCAACTTCCATCTGTCCTGCACTTCTTTTGGGGGGGGGTATCTGGGATCAAACTCGGAACTTTGCGCTTGCGAGGCAGGCGGCAACACCACTGAGCTAAATCCCCAGCCCATGCCCTGTACTCTTTTGGATTTGTTTTCAGTATTTCCCTCTTTAGATTTTAGTTGCACATTTTATTTTTATGCTTTTTAAATTATTAATTTTGTTTGTACATTTTTTACTTACAAAGCCTAAATTTTATCCTTTTCTAGAAAACATGTACTCATAAACTCAGATATCCACTTTGTACTTTTTTTCATTATACTTTTTGATTCTTTAAAATTAGCAGATATAGGGCCAGGGATGCAGCTCAGTGCCACAGTGCCTGCCTGGCAAGCTCAAGGCCCTGAGTTCGATTCCCAGTATCATAAAATAAAATAAGCAGATATGATGTAATCAAAGTGAACATTTTTATTGGGAAAAAGGCCAGCCTATCACCTATGTATAAATAAAAGAGGAAGAGGACATGTTTTAGTGATCTTCTCATAGAGTAAATAAAGAAAATCTCAAGGTATAACGTTATCTTAGAGATGGGAAAAACAGATTGATTGTATATGGCTGTTTCAGCTACAGGGCAAAAATAGCTAGGAAGCTCTGGAAATCCAAGACGTTTGGATGGAACTGATCATAGAGTTTTGATTTTCTTGCTCAAATCTTGCACAGCCTAAGAAGACAATGAGGTCAGTGACAAACTCTCTCGGTGCCAGTTTACATTTGCCCAGAACTAGAAATATATTCTATATTTCTTTTTCCACCTAAGAAAGGAAGCAGACAAATTTATGGAGCCTAGATTACATGACTCCTGATGTATTCGAATGTCCCGGTCCCATCTTCTTCCCAGCGAGCTGCAGCAGACCTTTGCACACGCCTTGCCTCCTTGACCTACATTAGCTCTTTTAAGGGCATCTCACACCATGCTGCCAAGAGGGGAGCCTCCTACCCCTCTTCCTATTGTCTGTGGACATTGGAGTTTCTTAGATAAGGAAATGGGGAGTGGGAGGATGGACAGAACAAGAATGGTAAGCACTAAGTAGGACTAAATCAAGACTTCATGTAGGAAATGAGAAAACTCTTGAGATGGAAAAAAGTGAGACCTATAACTATAAATACCTGGCTTCCCTGTGTGGTTGGCAAACTGATTCTGAAGACAATTCCCAAAATAGAAGGTTCCAGAAACTTGGAATTATTGCATACATAAAATTAAGATATAGGCTCCTAAAGTAATTTAAAAGGATAAGATTTAATTTAGATCTTTTAGTATGCTTATTCAAAAAAGCACTATATTTCATTACTCTTCAAAAAAGGCTAATAAAGAGAAACAATGCAAATAGTTATAACAGCTTAAACTTAAAAGGAAAAGGTTTAATTTCTGAATTTAGATTTAAGCTGAATTTTATTACCACTCAAGAAAAGGGATAGAAGTTTTTTGACTTATCAAAAATGCTGTGCAAAGCAATAAGAACTTTAGCATTTTTGTTTTGTTTTGTTTTTTTGGTACCAGGGATTGAACTTGGGACCTTGAGCTTGCGCAGCAGGCGCTGGAACCACTGAGCTAAATCCCCAGCCCTTGTTTTTGTTTTTTGAGACAGGGTCTCACCATGTAGTTCAGGCTGGCCTTGAACTCTCTATGTAGCCAGGCTGGCCTCAAACTTGCTGCAATCCTCCTGCCTCAGCCTCCCAAGTGCTGGGATTGCAAGTGTGCACCACCATGCCCAGCTAACTTTAGTGTAAACAATACCTGGTTAATCCTTTGAAGGAAATATGCAGAACCTAAAAATGTCACATTCCAACATGAAGTTGAAGCAGAAAAACTTGGGTCTTTCCAAACAACTTGATTAATGATGCCTATGCTGGTTATATGGGAAATTCCAGGCCTCTCTAGGAGCTAAACCTATTATCAATTTCATAGGAAAACAAAACCCCTAAAACTCCCCCAAAGTTACAAAGTCTCATGACACCCTAATTTATCACATTCAAAGTTAAATATCCCTTGAGTTTATGATGATACACCAATGAAAAAAACCCAAATATTTAAAGTACAAATGTTTTATTTACATAAATATTTCTTTACCTTAACTGAAAGCTTACTGTAATACAGAACACAATAGCTTTTTTTCCTCCTCAATTAGTATCTTGTTAAATTTTGTTTTGGCATTTACATACATAGGAAAACATCTTTATAAGAAGTCTTAGCTGGGCATGATGGTGCTTGCCTCTAATCCCAGCACTGGGAAGGCTGAAGCTGAAGGATTGCTGTGAGTTCAAGGCCAGCCTGGGCTACATAGTAAATTCAAGGCCAGACAGAAGTCTTCACTTCTATAATTAATGCAGAGACCCAGATTCAGTAACACTGCTGGGCCCATTAAAACTGACAACAAAGGGCTGGGAATTTAGCTCAGTGGTTCTACCGCCTGCCTCACAACTTCAAGGTTCCGAGTTCAATCCCTGGTACCAAAAAATAAAACAAAACAAAACAAAAAACCTGACAGTAAAGTGCCATGCATTGGGTGGTGGTATACACGTGTAATCCCAGCTACTCAGGAGGCTAGGGCAGGATTGTAAGTTTCAGGCCAGCCTGAGAAACACAGCAAGACTCTGTCTCAAAAAAAAAAAAGAGTTGGGACAGACTTAATGCCAAAGGCACAGGGTTCATTCACCAATACAGGGGGAAAAAAAAGTGCCAGCAAATGGATGAAAATATTACTGAAATTCATACTTCAAATTAAACCACATTTCCTCAATTATGCAGATGTTATTAGAATTAGAGGGGGAAATTGTAATTTTTTTCTTGTTGAAACTTTTTAAAAAATCATCTTTTTTTGTTTTTATTCTCATTTCTTTTTTTGAGACAGCGTCTTACTGTGTTTCCCAGGCTGATTCTGAGTTCCTGGACCCAAGTGATCCTCCCACCTCAGCTGTGACTACAGGTACCACAGACTCTTAATAACTTAATAGTGTATTAAGCATTTATTTTACACTCACACTTGTGTAATTATTTATTATTAAAACTGGAGATGGTATCTAGTTTTCACTGATTCCTTTATTAATTTATGCTTACTTTCCAAACTCTATGTTGTATTATGTGTAGTTCAATTCTTTCGTGGTTTTTTTCTGAAAAAATTTATCACTGCCAGAACATGATTGGTACTGACACTTTTTTCTTACGGGACTCTACAACATTCAAATAGTGGACTTCACACCATGAGTTCTCTGCTATTTAACAGGATTCATCTAATATTTATGGCTGGTGTATTCATAAAGTATGCATTTTCTGATGTACAATAAGATTTGACTTCTGGGAAAATGCTTTCCCGCATATGTTACATTCATAGGGCTTCTCTCCTGTATGAGTTACTTGATGTCTAAGGAGATGAGACTTCTTGATGAAGGCTTTGCCACATTCAATACATCCATAAGGTTTCTCTCCTGTATGAATTCTTTGATGTGTAACAAGCACAGATGTGTTGCCAAAGGCCTTGCCACATACGACACATCGGTAGGGTTTCTCTCCTGTGTGACTTCTAGAATGTTTATAGAGGGATGAACTATACTTGAAGGTTTTCCCACATTCCTTACATTCAAATGGGTTCGCAGGCATATGAGATTTCACATGTTGATTAAAAGAGGAGCTCCAAATGAACGTTTTCCCACATCGACTGCACTTATAAGGCTTTTCTCCAGTGTGAAGTCTCTGGTGGTTCACAAGGTAGGATTTCTGTGTGAAAGCTTTCCCACAGTCAGTGCACACAAAGGGTCTCTCTCCACTATGCATTTTCTGATGAGCTATAAGGTATGCCTTCCTACTATAAGCTTTCCCACAGATACTACATTCTAAGGGCTTTTTTCTTGTATGATTTTTTTCATGTCTAATGAAATGAAATTTCTTTTTGAAGGCTTTCCCACATTCATTGCATTCATATGAGTTTTCTCCAGTATAACTTCTATTATAATTAAGTAAGTCTAAATTAGGTTCCAAATTCTTCCCATATGATTTACATTTATGTGATCTTTTTCTTGTTGGATTAAGATTTGTGCTCCTATTATAATGGTGGAGTTTCTCCATGGTCAGAATTCTACTGAACGTGAACAAAACCGACTTCAAAAAATTGTCTTTGCTTTCCTGATGCTTCTCTGGTTCATCAAGTAGACAGTCAGCTTCTAAAAAGGAGTACAATAAAACATTCCTAGTTATTTTTTTCCCCTCCAGCCTATTCCTGACAGAAAAGTCTGTGGTTTCAAATCAAGTCTCTTACTCTTGAAATAAACCCTATATTTGCCTTGGTCTTCTTGAGCTTTAAGAGTAAAACTGCTAGCGAGTAAATGGGAACAGATGAACAACAAAAATAAGAACAGATTGAACATTATCTGTAGAAACTCAATAAAATAGGCACAGAGTACAGCAAATAAGGTACAAAAGTCAAACTGTTGTGCAATAAGTCACAAAATGAAAAGAGCCATTTTGGAGCTCTGGTTAATGGATAAGGTGACAAGGGGAAGAGGAGAAGAGGGAGCTAAGGGAAAGTATCAAAGAACAGGCTAGGTTTGGAGGAGGCAGATAAGAGGCAGAGTCTTCTCTACAAATTCCTAGATTACCCTAGTCAAATAGTTCTATATTTCTGTTGTATCTCTTTTTCCTTCTAATCACCCTACAGACTATCAATTTCCTTTAAGAGATTCTTGAGGGCCAGGGATTTAGCTCAGTGGTTCCGCTGCCTGCCTCCCAAGCGCAAGGTCCTGAGTTTGATCCCCAGTACCAAAAAAAACAAAAAACAAAAAAAGAGAGATTCTTGAATCTCTAGAGGCATTATCTGCAGACAGGGCTCCAAATCTACTGACAGCTCGCATTCATTTTATATGTACTTCCAAGTACAGGAACACAGATGTTTAGCAGGTCACGCATAGGCAAGTCATCCTTAGCCCAATCATAGATTTTATTTGCTAACATTTTAATTCTGGCTGGGTTTCTGTGTATGACAAATTATCTGTTGTATTTGTGTTGGGCATACTGCATACTCTTTCAATCTGCCTGATAAACTAGTTTCCTGAAAGCTGTTTTACTCCTTACATCATGTCTTTTTGCTCCTAGCCTCAAAATCTTATAAATCTCAAATCTGTTACTCCACTTGAAAAAAATCGGAGAGGAGGGGTTATAATTCTCCACTCTGGAGTTTCCCTCCATGTGGAATGTTAGTACAGTACAACAACACTTTCAACTTCTTACTCTGTTGGATCAAGACTTAGTGGTAGGCAATAGGGATTAGTACACATTTCATTAGAGAATGGTTCTGAATATGGGGACTCACTTCCTCTTGCTTTTCTAGTAAAACCAATGGGAAGCAGCTAAAAACAATAACCAGGTGAAAAATCTCAGAAAATCAGCCAGGTATACAAAACCAAAAGATATGAACTTACTCATGGGATCTAAGCATGTGTTTCACTAGTCCTCAGTATCTTCTATTCCATGGATTCTAGACTTCTATATAGATGCTCCTCAACTTACAATGGAGTTATGTCCTGATAAACACCTCAAAAGTTGACAGTATTATTGAAGTTAAACTGCATTTAATACGGATAACTTACCAAACATTTTAGCTTAGTAACACAGTACACTGTAGAGTATGGGTTTACCTGTGTGATGATGACTGACTGGGAGCTGTGTCTCACTACTGCTGCCCAGCATCTTGACAGAGTACCATATATTGCCAGCCCAGAAGACATCAAAATCCAAAATCTGAAGTACAGTTTCCAAATGCCATATCACTTTTTGCACCATTGTAGATGTTATGGCCCCCAAAGCCTCATCCATTTGGAAGGTGACTGGATTATCGGGCATTGTAGCTAACTTGCTGTGGGGAGATGGCACCTGGTCAGAACATGGGGGTCCCCAAGGCTGTGACCAGGGAGGGTATAGCTCCCTTCCTGGCTCCCCTTCACTCTGCTTCCTGGCCATCATGAAGTGTGCAGCTCTTATTCTCTATGCCTCTGTGCCATACCATTCTGCCCTGCAGCCCGCTGATCTAAGACTGTAACTATGAGCCAAATAAACCTCTCCTCCTGTAATTTGTGGGTGTTAGGTATTTAGTCCCAGCAACAGAAAACCAACCGAGACAGTAAAGTCAAAAATCCTAAATTTAATCATCCTTAATCAGAGATTGTATGTGATTGTGATCTTTTGCTCTTGTTCCTTCCCCACTTTAACTTGCCCTCCCTCATCTCATCCATTTAGTATTTGATATTCTTCTGGGAGGAGCCATTGTTCCATGATCTCAAAAAATAATCTCTAATTTTGATTTTCTTTGGATTTCTAAGATAATCATTATTTTGGTTTGTATGTTAAATGTCCTCTGCCTCCCTGCCTTGTGGTGGAAGGTTAGTTGTCAGCTGACAGGCTTTTGGAAGGTGATTGGATCATAAGGGTTCAAACTTCCTCAATGTATTAATCAATAATGGATTCATGATTTGATGGCGTGGCTGGGAGGATATGGAAATTTGGGAGGTGGGGCCTGGACATGTGACCTTGATGATGACAAATATCTTTTCCCCACCCATCCTCTCAGGCTCTGGCTCTCTCTCTCTGCTTCCCAGCTGCCATGAGGGAAGCAGTTTTCCTCTGCTGTGCTCTTCTGCCATGATGTTTCTGCCTTATCACAGGCCTAACAGCAATGGAGCCAGCTAATCATGGACTGAAACCATGAGCCAAAATAAGTCTTTCCTCCTTTAAGTTGTTTTTCTCAGGTATTTTGTTACAGCAACAGAAAGCTGATTAATAGTCATATAGTGATTATAGTTGCCTATACCATTCATTTTGACAATTTTTTTTATTCACTAAGTTTGTTGGTACATTTTAGGTATACATTATGATCACATTCATCATTGGGATTTTGTACCTGTACGTGATATATCTTGCTTCCTTTTTTCCCCCCATTTCCCCATTTTGACAATATTAACTAGAACAAAACTGCAATGTTAATATGCAATGAACAAATGTTTTATACTCATCAAATTTTAAAATGTTTTAAATGTTTTGTGGTTCCAATTACCATTTATACATTAGAAAATGGTAATGAGTTTTTGCTTTCTTTGAATCCTTCTCAGGAAACATTTTAAAAAGTCTTGTAGAATGGAATAAAAAAGAAACAGAACCCATGATGCCTGGCTCTACAATAGTGAATCAATGAAACATTCATTAAAAGAAATATTACAGCTCTTTCTTTAGGGTACTATATGAAAAACTATGCTTTAAAAGCCACAAGGGTTTTTTAAAAGTCCAAGACAGAATATGTCAAGTTGTCCATGATGGAGTCATGGCAGAATTGCACAGGGAGTTCAAGAAAGCAGAAATTAATACAGAGTTTTCATGAAAGAGGACCAAATTGACCTCAAACTTAATAGCACACTAGTCTTTAGGTGGACCCCACCAGAATTAAAAGGACGGGTGCAGAAAAAGAAAATTATGTGTAAAGGATATAAAAGAGCCCAATTCTCACAGAATAGGGAAAAGATAGGTATTTTATTTTTTTTTTGGTACCGGGATATTTTTAAGATAGGTAATTTTTGATAAGCAAAATGGAACCACATTAGAGAGAGCAATAGAAGCCATTTGAATAATCAAAATACAGGTTATAAAGGACTGATTTACATTTTTCAGGACAGAGATAAGATGAAATAATTTGGGTTAATTATGGAGTAACATCTAAGATAAATAAGAAAACAGAATGCAAATAGGAAAAATTGAAACATGAACAGCCTAGATACAATATCAGTAATTAAAATTCACTTGGTTTGGAGCCAGGCATGATGGCACATGCCTGTAATCCCAGCACCATGGAGGCTGAGACAGGAAGACCACAAGTTCAGGCCTGGCCCAGGTTACACATCAAATTAAAGGTCAGCCTGGACTACAGGAACTACACAGTGAGACCTTGTCTCAAAAATCAAACAAAAAATCACTTGGTTTGTGTCAGAAGATGGGACTCTAGGGAATTGGTGTATGAATCATTTGAAACATTTTCCTTTTAGGCTCTTTGTGGAAAATGAAAATTTTCTATTAAATCAATCTTAGATAAGTGAATAGCTGATATCATAGGCCATAAAGCTATATACCATTTCTTTTGAAACCACTGGGAGAAAAAAACTGCTTACTGCAATGATTTGAAGACTACAGAGTCTGCCAAAAAAATGTACACATACTTTAAGAAAAGAAAAATAGCGCGATGTTTTTTCAACAGATGGTGTTACCCTTGTATGGGGGATCCTAGAGGATGTCATATATTGTAGAAAACCCACTACACTGCCAGCCCTTAGAGAAGAAATTGAAAATGCACGAACTGCAATCTCAATGGACCACGGTTACCCAAGCAGCAGTTCACTGTACTAATGTCTAGAAGCTAGTGCCACTACTTTGAGCACCTCTTGTAACTGTAGAGGCCAAAGGTAACTTGTATTAATCTCACGATGACCTAATAAATTTAGTTCTAAAATATTTATACATGTTTTTCTGTTCCTGATGTGTGTATACATTTTTTGGGCAGACTCTGTATAAAGCATTGGGCCAGTCATTATTCTTTATTGTAACATAAAGATGAATGTGAAGGTTGAAGAATTTTTTAGTATCTTGATTCTTTTTTTTTTTTTTTTTGGTACTGGGGATCAAACTTGGGACCTTGTGCTTGCAAGGCAGGCGCTGGAACCACTGAGCTAAATCCCCGGCCCAAATTTTTTAAATTAGTTATTATGAAAAGACTTGAAATAAGTGCAGGTGGCATAAAACTATGGGAATGGAAAGTTGCTGAGGTTCAGATGCAGAGATGGAGTGATGAGACTTCTGAGGGAGTTACTATGGAGAGTGGAGAAGATGGGAGAGGAAGAAAGAAGAGATGAATAAATAATCAGCAAGAAGGGTAAGGACAGATTAGCTGAGAAACAAGCAGAAGTGAGTTGGAGGAGAATTTAAAAAATATCAATATTACCAAAGTGATAAACTAGAACATACCCACATTATCAATGAGACTAAAGATAAACAAGAGATAAACAAGGTAAATGATAGTGAATTCTTTTAAGTTTATGTTGCTCAGCTTCATTTTGAATGTAAGTGTAAGTTTCTCACATCAGAAGCAGGGGTCAGTCATGGTTGACATAGCTTCCAGTGCTATATCCCTTGCACTCCCCAGTTCTTCAGTGTGGTCAATCCAGATTTCTACTGTATACAACTGCTCCCTGGTGATCACTCACTTCTCTGAGGGACAGATTGATATACCCAACTTGACTGGTCCTGGTAATCCTCATACCTCATATGCACCATGCAGACTGTCCCAGTAACCACCTCTCAATCACAGTGTGACCTCCTGGTACTTGTGCCTCCATGCTTTAAATCCACCCACTAAAGCTCCCCATCTAAGCTGTTTGAATAACACTTTAGGCCCAATTAAAGCACTGGACAACGGGTCCCTCTCTCAGTCCCTGCCCTTGATGTGTGTGTCCTCCAGTCATTCAGAGCATCCTCCAGGACCTATAAGTAATAAAATCTTTATTGCCATTTTGTCTTTCCCAATCACTGAAGGGGTGCTTAAGTTCAAGCCTCGTCTGAGCAATTTACTAATAAAACATTGTCTCAAAATTTTAAAAGTTTGGGCAATTTAGCAGCTTGGTGAGAACATGTCTCCAGAAAGGGGCTGAGGATGTAGCTTAGCATGAAGTCCCTGGGTTCAAGCCCAATACTAAAACAAAACAAAACAACAAAAAATACAACACTGAGGCATATAATGCAAATAGAGGAATAAGTTTATTTTTAAAAAAGGAAGATGACTAGAGCATCATGTTAACTAAACACTTACTCTCTGCCAGCTATTTGAAGTGTTTTGGATATATTAGCTCCTATATTCTTTATAGGAATCCTAAGATAGGGGTTAATATAATTCTTATTGTATTAATAAAATTATGCTACAAAATAATTTGCCTAAGGTTAGACAATGATTGATCCTGAAATAAGGATCAATAAGTTTCCAACTAAACACTTACTCTCTGCCAGCTATTTGAAGTGTTTTGGATATATTAGCTCCTATATTCTTTATAGGAATCCTAAGACAGGGGTTAATATAATTCTTATTGTATTAATAAAATTATGCTACAAAATAATTTGCCTAAGGTTAGACAATGATTGATCCTGAAATAAGGATCAATAAGTTTCCAAATCCACACAATTTAACCACATTATAAAAATTAATTATAGAAAAAAGATCTGTAATCATGTTGAGAAGGAAAAAAATGAGGGCTTCAGGAACTGTGAGAAGAGAAACAAAGCAAGGACCTAGATGAAACAGGCAATGTGAGGAACCAGGGTAGAGAGAGGGCATCCCTCTATACAACAGCTGAGCAAGGAGTAAGAGCACCTATGTGAGTAGAGGGAAAGGAAGGTACATTTGGGAATTTGATGTTGTTGTATCAAGAGTACTCAAGCACTTACAAAGGAATGTGGCTTTTAAGAGGTACTTCCTAAGTGATATTTCAAAAGTGCTTGTCCTTCACTGACCAACTTGGATGTCAATTCCAAGTACTCTCATCTGATTTTCTCTCACTCACCTGGATAGCTCCCATGTAGATTCTCTTCCTCCGCCAGCCATGGGTCTTGTCCTTGCTCTACCTTGAGGATCACTTTTGGTTTAGTAACTGGAGACCCTATTCATGGGAAGATAACACAGAAGAGACAAAGCGCTAGGGACAAACAACTTCCTCATAACTCAAATCCGCTTCCTTGAGTCTCAGAAACTTGACAAACAGGGTCTAGAACAAAGCCCATTCTCCATGCAAAGTTAGAAGCATAAAAAGATTACCTGATCCCTAAAGGGGATTAGGAATCTTTGACCACTGATATTCAGGATCAAAGTTACTGTATTAACACTTCAGATGTTCAGAGCTTTCACAAATCTTAAAGGAAGGACACCAATTGGTACATTCTGAGTTACACTGAAAAGTTATCACCCACTGTCCTTACCCACTGAAATGAGGTTTCTATAGTTGTCCAACATCACATCCCAGTACATCATTCTCTGATCACAGTCAAGCATCTGCCACTCTTCTGGGGTGAAGTCCACAGCTACATCCTGAAATGTCACTGATTCCTGTAATAGCACATTCATTGTTATCAAATTAATGGGTACATTATTAGGACTTGCAAGAGAATCCTGACAGCCTCTTAATATCATATGTTCACTGTTGAGTTTGGGGAAAGTTATGTACAGAAACTACTATATAGTTGATTCAGAAATATACTTTCCAGAAGGAACACATATCATATGAAAAATATCCAACTAATGTCAGAAAAATTTAACAAGGAAAAAGAAGAGTCATTTAAACAAATGGTGCTGAGACATGTAGATAGCCAGACACAAAAGAATAAAGTTGGGAATTCCCCATCCACTTGACATCACACACTAATGAACTAAGATGGATCAGAGACCTAAAGGTGAGAACTAAAACCATTAAACTCTTAGAAGACAACATAGGGGAAAATCTTTATGACCACAGATTAGGCAATGGTTTCAAAAGAAAAAGTACATGACAAACAGGATACAAAGAGTTATCAAGAAGATCATACACCCTGACCAAGTCGGATTTATCACAGGGATGCAAGGATGGTTCAACATTCGTAAATCAATAAACGTAATATACTATATTAACAGAGTCAAGGACAAAAACCATATGATCATCTCAATAGATGCAGAAAAGGCATTTGACAAAATCCAACCCCACTTCATGATAAAAACCCTACAGAAAATTGTAATAGAAGTTCTTTATCTCAACTTGATTAAGGCTATCTATCAAAAACCAACAGCCACCATCATACTAAATGGTCAAAAACTGAAAACTTTCACACAAAGTCAGGAGCAAGACAAGGATGCCCACTATCACCACTCCTGTTTAATACTGTTCTTGAAACATTAGCCATAGCAATTAGAAAAGAGAAAGAAATAAAAGGAATAAAAACAGGAAAGGAAGAAGTTAAACTGTCATTATTTGCTGATGATATGATACTTTACATAGAAGACCCAAAATACTCTGCCCAAAGACTTCTAGACTTAATTGACAGATTCTGTAGAGTAGCTGGATACAAGGTCAACACTCAAAAAACAATATCCTTTTTATATACAAATAATAGACTCACTGAGAGAGAAATTAGGGAAACAATTCCTTTTACAATAGCATCCAAAATAATGAAATATCTAGGAGTCAATTGAACAAAGGAAGCAAAAGACCTCTACACTGAAAACTATAGCACTTTGAAAAAGAAGATGGAGGAGGATATAAGAATATGGAAAGATATCCCTTGTTCCTGGATAGGAAGAACCAATATAGTGAAAATGGCCATACTTAAAAAAAAAATTATAACATAAAAAATAAGTTGGAATTCATAAAAATTAAAAATCTTTTATGCTTCATAGGACACAAGTGAAAAGAAAACAGAGAATAGGAAAAATATTTATAAACATGTATCTAGTAAGAGACTTGTACCTAAAACAAAGCACTCTTAAAATTCAACAATAACAGCCAAGTGTGGTAACACACACCTATAATCCCAGCACTGGAGAAGCTGAGGCTCAGGGATATTGGTAAGTCTGAGGCCATCCTGGGCTACATAGTGAGTTTAAGGCCAACCTGAACTACACAGGGAGGCTTTATCTCAAAAAACAGAAACAAAAGAACCAAAAACAATAAAAAGACAACTCAATTTTAAAATGGGCAAAGGATTTGAACACAATTTCTCCAATATATATGATGAAAAAATAAATGAAATGCTCAACATCATTACTCATTAATGAAATGCAAATCAAAACCACAATGAGATAGAGCACTTCACACTAACAAGGATGCCTAAAATGAAAGACAATGGAAAGTGTTAGCAAGATATAGAGAAAGTGTAACTTTCATACATTTTTGATGGTACTGCAAAATATTGTAGCAACTATGGAAAATAGTTTGGTAGTTCCTCGAAATGTCACACATAGTGTTAACATATGACCCAGCAATTCCACTCCTAAGTATATACAGGAGACTTAAAACAAATATCCACACAAAAATCTGTGCACAAATGCTCTTAGCAGAATTATTGGTATTAACCCAAAAGTGGAAACAATCTGGTGTCCATTTACTGACAAATAGATAAACAAAATGTAACATTTCCACAGGATAGACTATTATTCAGCAATAAAAAAGAATGAAGTAGGGGCCGTGGATTTAGCTCAGTGGTTTCGCCTCCTGCTGCGCAAGCACAAGGACCTGAGTTCGATCTCCAGTACCAAAAAAAAAAAAAAAGAGTGAAGTACTGATATATCTACAACATTGTGAACCCAAAAATAACATACTGGGTGAAATAAGCCAGTCAAAAAGATCACATATTATATGATTCCATTTACATAAAATGTACAGAAGAAAACAGAAAGTAGATTAGGGTGAGGAAAAGGAGAAATAAGCAGTGACTGACTTCTAATGGGTACAGAAGTCTCCTTGCAGAATGATGAAAATGTTCTGAAATTAGACAGTGGTGATTCCTGCATAATGCTGTGAATATAATAAAAGCACTTAGTTGTATATACTTGAATTGGGTCGCTTTTATAATATGCGAATTATAATTCAATAAAGCTATTTTAAAATATGACATATGTTCTTAGTCATTCACTCATAATATATTTAATGAATGCCAGCAGACTCTATATTAATATCAAAAGGAATAAAATTACTCCCTTGGAGATTTTCCAATCTATTAGGTTCAACAAAGTTAACATAGTACAGTAAGATGTTACTAAAGCTGTATAATTTACATGGCCAGACTCACATAAGATTGGAAGACAGATTTTTTTAATATGATAAAAAAATAACCTTTCAACCATAAAGTCAAAATCATGTTTAATGGGTAAATATTAAAAGCATTAGAATTGGGGCTGGAGTTGTAGCTCTACTTGGCTAGAAACTGTGCCCCAACACAGGAACAAAAAGCAAAAAACAAAACAAAAAATAAAAATCGAAGGCATGTATCTGTGCATTGACCATAAAACAGAAAATTAAACCAGCTATGATGGTATAAACCTGTAATCCCAGCACTTGGGAAGCTGAGGCAGGCGGATCGCCATGAGTTCAAGGCCAGCCTGGGCTATATAGTGAATGCAAGGCCACCCTGGACTACATACTGAGACCCTGTCTCAAAAAAAATGGAAAAGACTCACAAATTAAATCTTTAAATTTACCTTACATCCTGCTTTATGGACCTGGAAAATATTCTTTAAATGCAGTGACTCTAAAATTGATACTGAGAAAATGCTCAAAATAGCTAGAGAACTGAAAAGATACAAGGTTAACTTATGGATCATCCAAGTGAACATTAAAAAGGCCATATACTTGGACTGATAAACTGAGGTCACTTAATACCACTCAGTACTAGGCTCTCTACTTACTCTAGAAAACACTCTAAGAAAATCATAGGAGCTGGGTGTGGTGGCACACGCCTGTAATCCTAGTACTTGGGAGGCAGAGGCAAGAGGATCACCATGAGTTCCAGGCCAGCCAGTGCTACATACTGAGTTCAAGACCAGCCTGAACTACATAGCAAGATCCTGTCTCCAAATAACAAAAACAGAAAAATCATAGGAAACCTGATATATTTATTATAGACCTGCTGTGAATGTTATTTTTAACAGTACCTATATGACAACCCATTAAAAGAAATTTTCTTCAGAGAAATATACCAGGAAAAAAACCAAACTGTACTTATCTGGGAATTATTTTGCTTTATCATTGCAAACAATACCAATACTTTAGTTGATAATCCATTTAGTATGACTTCCAGGAAGACTGAGTACATATTTGCAGCTCAAATTTATTCCAATTATATGTAGACCACACAACATGACATCAACTTATTTTCTAAATTTCCATTTAGGCCTGATTTTCTAACCAATCTACACTTTCCCTAACTTCATCTTTTCTTTTCATTATATAGATTTTTGGAAAACTTAAATGACTGAATGAATAGATGGATGCCTTACCTGAAAGTTGATCATTTTCAGCAGTTTTTTTTTTTTTTCGTACTGGGGATCGAACTTGGGACCTTGAGCTTTTTAGGCAGACGGTGGAATCACTGAGCTAAATCCCTGGCCCCTTTTCAGCAGTTCTTGAACAGAAACCTATGAAAGTAAAAATAGGGAGAACAGAAAGATATGGGACACCAAAACTAACACTCTAGCACATCTGAAGTACCCACACTGCAGCCTCAGAAGATGCCACCTAGTGGGATAAAGACATTTCTATCAAGTCAGAAAGTTCATGTTTCATATGTATACAACTCTACTTGTGATTGTTAAGAACATGTGGTGGGGCCAGGGATTTAGCTCAGTGGTTTCGCCGCCTGCTCTGCAAGCGCAAGTACCCGAGTTCGATCCCGGGTACCAACCCCCCCCCCCAAATATATATATATGTGGAGGCAGGAATGGAAAGGAATAAATATGAGAAAAGGAAAAAATGGAAACAAAGTCTTTGTAAATAGGGAGGGGTGTAGGGGTTGTTAAGAACATGTGGTGGGGCCAGGGATTTAGC